CACGAACCATTAGATCATGACCTGAGCCAAAATCAGACGCTGAACTGACTGAGCCACCCAGGCACCCCAACAGTTAACAAAAATTTAAAAAATTTAAATTAAAAAAAATCCCTGCCCTTGTGGACCTGACATTATGGGGGCGGGGGGAGAGTTGGACAAGATTGAAAAAGTCAACTACGCAGAGTATATTAGAAAGTATATTAGAGAAAGTTAAAAGTACAACAGGGAAGAGAAAAGCATGAGGAGTTACAAGTGAAATCTAAAATCCCTACAAGGCTCCCTGCCCTCACCACCCCATACTGCCTCCACCCCTCACCTCACCTTCCTGCCCTCACCTTCCTGCCCTCATCTCCTCTTGCTCCCCCACCCCCACCCCGCTTCACTCACTCTGCTTCAGCCACTGGTTTCCTCAGTTTCTCCAACGTTTCAGGCATATTCCCACCTCAGGGCCTTTGCACTTGCTCTTCTTTCTACTTGTAACCCTTCCTTTAGATATGAGCCCTCTCTCACTTTCTTCAGATCTTTGCTCAAATGCCACCTCCTCAGGGAGGTTACTGAATCTACAATAATCCCCTATCACACTCCACTCCCCTATGCTGCTCTATGATTCTTCATAGTACGTGTATCACCATCTACAATATAGATTTATCTATATATTGATTTATTTCTCCCTGTCCCTGCTCTAGAACGTCATTTCCCTGAGGACAAGGGTATCTGTCTGTTTTGTTCATTGTTATTTCCCAGGCACCTAGAATAGTGCCTAGCACATAATATATGCTCAGTAAGTATTTGTTAAAATAAGTGGGTGAATGAACCAATGGAGATATCCTCTAAGAATTGTTGTTACTTAGGATAAGAGGAGAGAAGGATCAGCAGACTGGGGTGCTATTTAGGGCTATTCACAAATACCTACTCTCTGTTCTGGTCACGGTGGGACCACCCTTCTCACCCTCTTTGAAGTTAAGCATGTGACTTGTGTTGACCAATGAAATGTGAGCAAAAGTAACATTCCAGAGCAGAGCTGTAAGACTTGATGGGGGTTCGCTGTGCCTTTTTCTGTTTCAATGATCATGTCACCACAGAGCCTCTGTCATCCCAGGTCCCTGAATGACTACTATGGACAAAATTCTCCAGCCAACGATGGATACATAGTGCCAGGGAGAAATGCCCCTACGCCTTATTAAACCACTGAGAACTGAGGCTGCTTGCTCCTACAGTGTAACTTGACCTCTCTTGACTGATACAGAGTATCTGGGGCCTTTTCCCCCAGGAAATTGTCAAGAAAAGACATTGATTCTTTGGTTCTTTGCAGGAAGTCCTCAAAGAGCCTTTTGTGGATAGCTGCTTAGACCCTCCCCATTCCTCCCATGAGGAAAAGGGTTGTCCCCAAACAGAATATCTCTTCTTCATCTCCCCTTCCTTTTTCCAGCCGCTAAAGAGGGGTGAGCGGATGGGCAAGGACATAACATGTAAGATGCAGGTAATTCTCTTCAGGTGCTGTAATGACAGCAGCTGCTGGCAAGGGGCTGACAGCTCTGAGTCTGGTTCTGGATTTATGACGCCCAGGTGAGAAGCCATTCCGCTGAAGGCTCCCATCCTACAGGGATGGTTTATGGCTGAGAGTTGGCCAAAGGAATACTGGTGGCAGCTTCCTCTCTGTTTCCTTCCAGAGATGGCCTGTGACAGCGCTCTTAGAATCTCTTAAGAATTCTTGAGAAGAATGCTAAGTTGCTCCTCCAGATCGAATCGGGAAGGGAAAGCCCGAGACGAGAATGGCCAGAGGGTCTGGGCTCACCCCTACCTCACCACTGAGCTCCTTTATTAAGTCAAACACCAGCATCCAATCTTCTGCCTCATGACTGGGGATTCTTGCTACCTGGGTTCCTGAACCCCTCAGATAAGCCACGTTGGGGGTCTACACTTTTCTACAACCCCTTCACATGGAGCACCTCAAATGTTCTGCTCAATCCTTAGGAGGGTGGATTTTTGATCTAGACAACTGACACATATTTATTCCGTGCCTCCTATGTGCTTGGCTACAATGGCAAACAAAGCAAGTCCTCCTTACTGAACACCTACTAGGCACCCAGATGCTTGTGTCTATATGAAGGTAGAACCCATGAATCCTAATGAACACGTGATTGCTGGTTCAGTCACTTGACAAATACTTATTGTAGGCCTACTATGCATCAGGCCTTAGAGCTCACTAATGAGCAAAATACAAAGGTTGTCTGTGGTCCTCATGGATCCTGGGGTCTAATGGGGACTCTAAAACTCTCCTTGACTAATGAGGATATTGAAGATTAGAGAGATTAAATAATTTCCCCCAAGGGCATACTGCTAGTAAAGCGCAAGGCCAGAATTCAAACCAGGTATGCTTGACTTAGAGTCCTATCACTCACTGATTATCTACTGTGTCAGCCACTGAGCTGGGGCTTTTAGGCATAAACATGCTTGACACAGAGGAGGCAATCAATAGTTTTGCTGAATAAACAAAATGGATGGAAGGATGGATATACAGAGGACAGATGAAGAGATGGCTGGATGATGGATCACGGACGGATAGAGATGAGTGGATACATGGATAGAGAGATGGATGGATGGATGGATGGATGGATGGATGGATGGATGGATGGAGAAACAGATGGAAGGATGGATGGGTGGAGAGCTACACTCTATATCTCACAACAGTTCTGTAAGGAAGGAATTATTATTCTCATTTTTATATGGGAAACCGCAGCTGTGAGTGGTGAAGTCACTGGCGCCCGGAGTCAAAGCAAGTCATTGACCAAGAAGGGTGAGAGTGGATTGCAACCTTGGTCTACCAGACTCCCAGGATGCTTTCCAGAGCATTCTCGTGTGACAGCGTCCTCCCTGGTCTTACCCCAAGTCCCGTGGCATCCAGTGGCAAGGCTTAGTTAGACTGGGGGATGGGGGGTGGATCATGGATGGAAGAAATACTAGCTTTCGGCAGGTGATTTCACGGAAGCATGGATTGTGGTCCTATGAGCTACAGATGGGCCAGAATGGAGAGCAGGTCTGTTTGGGTACACGCACACATGCGCACACACACAGTTACAGAAAACACACGGTTCACACAGGAATCCACCCACATGCATACAAGGCAGGCACACACACCATTCATACATACACACTTGCACATATATGCACACACTTCTATAGATATACACATCCACACTTACATGCACACACACATGTACATATTAGCACAGACACATGCAACATACAAAATTGCAACTCAGAGACATACTCTTCTACACTTATGTACACATTCCCCACATACCATATGCTGCACATATGACATGCACACATTTATACTAAAGACGAACATTCTCTGAGGCTGGGGGAGGGGAATCTGGCTTCTGATTTCAATGAGACACCATCTCTCTCCCCCCTCAGAAGGCAGGAGCAAGAAGCTGTCACAGACTCACGTGTACAAACCCATATGTGCACATGCAATCACGGAACACACACCGACCCACAGTCAGGGACACAGAACTGCAGATAACACACTGAGACACATCCACACCCAAACACACTCACTCAGGAACACACTCACACTCCTTCTAGGACACGCCTTCACACACAGGAAGATGCACATGGATCTTCACGCTGGCAAACCTCATAAACTCTCTCCCTCAATTCGCACACAGCGCCATCCACACACCAAAACTCATGCCTGGACAGACGCCCCAGGATATACTCGCGTAATATCCCTCGATGTGAGAGACACTCAGAAAGACACTGTTTCACACACTGGCTTCACTTCTGAAAATTTGGACTGAAAGTCCTCACCTGTGCCAAACCCAATGCCATCCCCCCCAGGGGTTGAGCAAAGCCTGGGCACAGTGATGGCACCCCCCTCCCCACTTGCCTTCAACCCCCGGGGAGCAAAGTCTTCTTTTCTTTTCAGCAAGGGGAAAGAAAGAAGTGGTGTGGTGGCCACGGAGGCTGAACAGAGGAGCTGGTGAAGTTAAGGAAACACTGAGGAGAGGGAGCTCCATGCATCCCACTTCTACCTACAGGGAGGAGTCCCGCAAACACACTGAAGACGGGAAGAGATGGGAGGGGGGCCCAAATCTGGAGGAGACTGAGGGAAGTTTGCAGGGGAGGCTGACCCCTCTCCCTGCTGCCCAGGTCACCAGGAACACCATGAGTGACCCCGAAGGAGTCCCCCTGCCACCCACCCCTCGCCCGTGGCCAGGGAAGCTGGAGGCGACAGAGGAGGAAGGATAATCCTGTGCTTCTGGGGGTCCCTGTCAGCCTTCACCCCTGCTCCCCAAGTCTGAGACCCGTCTGCCTCCCAGAGAGTGCAGTTCTGGGAATAAATATTCAGCACATGGTGAAGCAGGTAACCAGAAAGGAGATGCGGGGGCCGAAGGGAGGGGGGCGTGGGGGAGAGAAAAAGACAGAAAAAAAGAGATACAAAGTCAGAGACAGCGCAACAGAGATAGACACAGACACGGAGAGACAGAGAGAAGCAAACCAGAGGGAAAAGAATAGACAGAGAGAGACAGAGGGAAAAAGACAGAGAGGGAGACGGGACGACTCAGAGATACACAGACGGGCAGAGATCCTGAAGGTGGAGACACCCCGAGCCCCCGCGGCTCCCGCATTCGGAGGCAAGGTCCGCCCGGGACCCCCGGAATCTCCGCTCCCGCTCCCCCCCCCTCGGCCGGCCCCGGCTCAGTTCCGCAGCCCTCACCGCCTCCGCCGGGGCCGAGCGAGCCTAGTGCACTGTCGGCGCTCGGACACCGCTCGCGGATCCTGGGAAGCAGTAATAATAATGCCAAGAACGACCAGCGCGGAGACGCCCGGGGGTCCCGGGGCTCCTCCGCGTCCAGCCCCTCAGCCCCCGGGAGGGCGCCCCTCGGCCGGGCGCGCAGGGGAGCCGGGGGACGGGGGCCCCCGGGGGCTGCGGCGGCGGCGGTGCGGGCACCACGCCCCCCGGGAGCGCCCCCCGCGAGGCGGCCACTCACGATTTTCTCGGAGGCGCCCGCGCGGGACACGGTGCCGTTGAGCCCCACGAGCGAGGGCAGCGTCTGCGACATCCAGTTGGTGACCATGGCCATGGTGCTCAGCACCGCCCCGATCTTGAGCAGCGGCACCGACATCGCGCCCCCGCCTCATGCCCCGCGGCCGCCCGCCGCGCGTCCCTTCTCCGGCCCGCCGCCTGGCGCTCCGTCCCTCGCCACCCAGCCGCCCCGGGGGCGCGAGCGCGAGCCGGGGGCCGGGGCCGGGGCCGGCCGGGGGGCTCGCGGACGCGGGCTGCGGCTCCGCGCGCCTGGCGGGCTCCGCTTATAAAGCGCCGGCTCGGCCCCCCCACCCCCTCCCGCGCCTCCGCGCCGGGCACTTCCAGCCGCCGTGACGTCACGGCTCCTGCCCGGAGCCCGGCGGGGGCGGGGGGCGCCCAGACTGCGCCCCCCCCCGGGCCGTGCCGCCGCCCCGCCGGGACCGCCCCCTCCCCGCCCGCCCCGCGGCGGACAGGGCCCCCCGCGGCGGCGTTCCCCTCCGGCCCCACCCCCACCGCCGCGGCATTCCCAGCCCCGCCCCCCAGCGGGTTCCCCCCGCCCCCCCGGCGCCCCCCGGACGCACTCCCGGGCCGCCCTCCGCGCCCAGCCCCTTCCCGAGCCCTCGGCCCTCAGCCCCCAAACCCCGCGCTCGCCGCCGCGAGCCGACCCCGGAGACGGGCAGGGGGCCGGGGTCACAAGTCCCCACCCTCCGCGCAGGACGCCGACCCCAGCTCGCTGGGACCCGCGAGCGCAGGCGTCGGGGCCGTGGGGGCGAGGCCAGTGCGCGCCCGTGAACCGGGCGCCCAGGGTCTCCTCTGTCGAGGGGAAGGGGCTTCCCCAGTACCACGCTGGGGCCCCTTCGGGGCTTTCGGGACCAGGGAAGCCCGGAGTGACGGGTCCGGAGCCAGTAGGCGCGACTGCTTGGATGGAGGTGCGGCGGTGGCGGCGGGGGGCGGGGGGCGCGGTCGCCCGGCGGCGGGAGGATTCCCACCGCACCCAGGGGCGGCATCGCAGCCCGGGGCGGCTGAGACGGAGGAGCCAGCCTTGGGCACGCAAGTCCCCGGCGGGTCCCCGCTCGCAACTTGAACTTGGGTGGGGGCGGGGAACTGACACTTCGCACCTGCCTCCCAGCCCCAGGGCTCCGGGGTCCGCCCCTCTGCGGAGGGGGGTGCGGAGCCGCCCCCACCCGCCCGCGCACCAGCCGGCCGCGGGGGTGGCGAGGCGGCGGCGAGGAGCGCCCGGCGGGGTTTAATTTCCTCTGTTTTCCCTGCACTCACGCCCCCTCCCGGCGTCCCCGCGTCACCTCGCGCCGCCGCCCCGGCCGCCGCCGCCGCCGCCGTCGCCCGCAGCCCGCGGCCGCCGCCGTCTGGAGGCGGCGATGACTCAGGCCTTTCCCGGCCGTGGCCGCTCGCCGAGGGCTCGCCCAGGGAGACGCGCTGAACAAAGGGGCAGGGGTGTTGAGCTGCCCTTTTTTCTGAGCTTAACACGGGGAGGCAGGTGCTGACGCTCTGTGACCTCCAGCAAAGAGCTCTCCGCCTCAGTTTCCTCACCTGCAACCTGGGTGGTGGTGAGGACCCATGTACCTAATATGTGTAAAGGGCTAGGGTGTCCTGAGAATCAAGTGAGAGATTTATTGAACATCTACTATGTGCCAGGCACTGTGAACAAAAGATAAAAATGCCCGCCTTTGTGGAGCTGCTGAATGTTACATGGGGTGAGACAGACAAGAGATAGGAGAGGGGAAAGTAAAATAAGAAGGCTATGGGGAGGAAGGGGCATCCAGACTAAGTAGGAGAGTTAACTTTAGTCAGGAGGGTTGGGGAGTGACATTTGGGCAGAGACCTGAAGAAGGTGAGGGAGGGAGCCTTTGGGCTATCTGAGGGAAGAGGTCCGGACAAGAACAGCATGTGCAAAGGCCCTGGGGCAGGAACACAAGTATTCAAGGAACAGGCCAGTGTGGTGGGAACAGAGTGAGCTGCAGGAAAGTGGGGGTGGGAGGGGGAAGATGTGCTGGTAAAGTACTTTGCAGAGTGTCTGGGACATGGTGTTTCATAAGTAGAAGGTGCCATTGTTATTATTTGCGACTGGTGATGAGCTCTAAAAAATGAGATGTGTCCTTGCCTCCTTGTACTACAGCTTACGTTTACAAGTGCTGAACACTTTGCAAATGTGCTGGCTGAGCACCAGCTGCAGCCTCCCATGAAAAGTACGGCAACATCGCTATTTGCAGGTGAGGAAACTGGACTCAGAGAAGAGAGGGGACCAGGTGGAGGTGACCCAGCAGGGAAATGGAGGCCCAGGATTTTAACCCAGTCTGTCTGATTTCAGACTCCAAAACCACTGGGCTCCAAGGTCTCCCAGCTTAGAGGATTTGGAACCCACTGATGCTCGCTCTCTCGCCATGGGTACTGTAGGAAACTGCCCTCGCGGCTTCCTGTCAGGCTTCTCCAAGGAGTGGTCTACACTCACATCTGCATCTGCGGCCTCCACTTCCTCACTTCCAACCTCCTGAATGTTTCCAAACTCCTTTCACTGAAGGCAGCAGTGGCCTTCTGATTTGCCAGTCCCACAGCGTCACACGAGCCCTCAGTCTCACAGGTTAGTCTTCATGGATCATTCCCTCTTTCCTGAAAGTAATTTCTCTTTTGATTCCGGAGACACCTTATCATTTCCTAGTTCTGCCCCCACCTCTCTGGCTGCATCATCACTGTCTCCTTCCTTCTCCCTAAATGTCTACATTTCACAGGGTTGTCCTGAGTCTCCACTCCTCTCATTCTTTTTTTTTTTTTAGTATTTTTTATTTATTTCTAGGAGAAAGAGATACAGCGTGAGCAGGGGAGGGTCAGAGAGAGAGGGAGACACAGACTCTGAAATAGGCTCCAGGCTCTGACCTGGCAGTCAGCACAGAGCCCGACGCAGGGCTCAAACCCACGAACCGCGAGATCATGACTTAAGCGAAAGTCGGACGCTTAACCGACTAAGCCACCCAGGCGCCCCTCCACTCCTCTCATTCTTTATACTGTGCCTGGACCATCATACCCACTCGCAAAATTTTGGTTCTATCTGGCATGCCCCCACCTCAGGACCTTTGTACTTGCTGTGCACTGCTTGCTGTCTACTTTACCCAGAACATCATTACCACAGATACACATATAGCTGCCTCTTTACTTCATTTATATCTCTGCTGTATTATTCTGTAGGTCAGAGCCATGCCCTACCTTTCTCTGGAAGACTACATTCCCCGGGTTCCCTTGCACACTGGCTTCCTGTTAGGCTCATCCAATGGGAGGCACTGAAAGGGGACTGGAGGGTAGGGAGGAAGGGAGAGGCCAGGGTATTTCTCCCCACTCTTTCTGCTTGGGGTTGTGGTGTGTTCCAACAGTGGCTACACCCCCTCCATGGTCTGACTCCCACACAAAAGCCCCTCCGGCACCACAACACCCATTTATCAGGTCCGTCCAACAGCTTTGTACTGTGTTTTATTGCTGGATTTCTTGATCATCCCATCAGTTTGACTTTTCAACTCTTCCATCATACACTTAACCAATTCCCTGTATTAAATTTCCTCTTTTTGAAACACCTAGAGTAGTCTGTTTTCCTAACTGAACTCTGAGTGACACGGCCACTCTGAAAAGACCTTCCCCGGCCACCTCATTGACAATACGAGCCCACACCACTCTCTTTCCCTTACTCGGCTCTATTTTCTTGAACAACATTGATCATGATGGGACATCACTTTTATTTGTTATGATCTATCTCACCCATAAGACTTCCAACCTCACAAGGGTACCTATGTGCCTGTATTTTTCACAGTGAAACCCCAGGGCTTAGAATAGTGCTTGGCACATACTGCAGATGCTCAAAAGTTTTTTGTTGATTGACTGACTAAATGAATCCGCAGCTGAGGCTCCCAAAGGTAAATGTACAGCCCAGATCTCCAACTGGAGTTAAGACCCGTATGCCCATCAGCCTCTTGGGCATTTCCATTTGTCTTTCACAGAACTAACAGCACATGACACCCACCAGAACAAACTCAATCAGAAAGAAAGGCAGTTCTGGTGATGATGTGGAGAAATGGGAATCTATTGCTAGTGGGAACATAAAATGTTATGACCACTTTGAGAAATGACTTAGCAGTTTCTTAAACGTTAAGCAGAAGCTTAACATAAGACCCAGCAATTCTATCTGCTTAAGAGAAATAAGGGCATATGACCATGGAAAGACTTGAATGTGAATATTCACGTGAGCATTTTCCATTGTGAATGAAGCCATCCAAATCCCCATCAGCTAGCGAATGGATAAAAAAATTGTGGTACATCCATACAAGGGAATGTTATTCAGCAATAAAAAGGAACAAACTACAGATATACACTACAACATGGATGAACCTCAAAAATATTTTGCTGGGGCACCTGGGTGGCTCAGTCAGTTAAGCATCCTATCTTGATTTCAGTTCAGGTCATGATCGCACAATTGTGAGAATGAGCTCCCAGCATTGGGCGCCGTGCTGACTGTGAAGCTGCTTGACATTCTCTTTCCCTCTGCCCCTCCCATGCTCACGAATACCAGCACTCTCTCTCTCTCTCTAAAAAAAAATAAATAAATAAAAATAAAAATAAATATTGCTAGGTGAAAGAAACCAGATACAACAAGCCACATTTTGGATCATTCCATCCCTACAAACTGTCCAGAAAAGGCAAATCAACAGAGGCAGAAATTAGATTAGTGACTGTCTGGAACTGGGGGAGGGAGGGGGAGGGATGGGCTGCAAAGGGACACAAGGGGTCTTTTAGGGGGCCTGGGAATGTCCTAAAACTGGGTTGGGGTGACGTTTGCACAACTCTACACATTTACTAAAAAGTCACCGAACTGCACACTTAAACAGGTAGGCTTTACGGCATGTAAATTACACAGCAACCACACTGTAAGGGGAGGGGCAGTCCTCGATTTCCCGGCAAGCCCTCTCCCCTGAGGTGCCCTGCAATTGCACTGATGTGAGAATGAGTCCTTAAATTCTGTGCCCTAGTTTCCCTGCTTGCCTCACCCTGGTCCTGGCCCCAATATACCCACAGTTAGAAACTATTGGGGCGCCCGGGTGGCTCAGTCGGGTGATCGTCCGACTTTGGCTCAGGTCA